CAACAAAATCCAATATCACCTAAAATATCTTTGACTTTGTAAAGTTCTCACAAAGTCATTATCTATTCAAATTCTCTAAAATCAATACTCAAGGATACTTTATTAAATCTAATCTCTTATCTTAATCTTTAATCAACATGAAAAGTTTACAATTATTGTAGGTACACAAATTTTTGTCTTGGGATTTGGTTTCACCTTGATTCACAATTGATCCTCTCTAAGTATCAATCTAAAGGTGTTTTTAGTAAATTTATTTTAAAGCTATTCTTTGTTGTTACCTAAATATTCTTGTTATATTAGCTTTTCAAAGTTTATCTTATTTTTTCTTATTTATGGTCCTATAAGGTTTTAAAATATTTTTATAAAAATAAAAAATTAATAATAAATTTTTTTACCACATCTCTATTTTTAATTTATATTTTTTTAAAATTAATTTGCTACTATATTTTTCAACCAAGTTTTTTTTACATATATATATTTTTTTAATCTTTTTCATCCAATAGATTTGTTATAACATGACACTAGTTGAGAATATTTTAATACATATTTGTAGTGGAGAGAATTAATGCCAAGAAGAAGCAATGATACCTATATTATTGAAAGCCATTGATACATCCAAGGTCATTGCAAAAACCTTCTTTCTTATAAATTGCCTAGTAATGTATTAAAACATTTACAATCAAAGGTATAAATTGAAGGTGAAAACTATTTTTAGTATGTGACCAATTAAAGCTTTGTTAGACATCTTCATCAAAAAAAAGATAAAGCATGATTTTATAAAAAAATAAAAATAACAAGCTTATACATCTTTTTTTATATCAAAAAACTCTAAAGAGATTGTTAAAGAACACTCATCAAAATTTGTTAATCTTCTTAATTATATTTACAAGAAAAACTATTAAACTTCTTGATTCCAAAAGTTATTGACATTCTAATTGTATTTAATTTTTAATCATTCACTTCTAATTATTATTGCATTATACATGTATGAAGTATTTTTGCTCTATGAGATAGAATTCACTTCCACCATTTAGTCTTTATCACTATTATATTATTTTTTGAATAGTAAAAAAATATTATAAATAGATATTAGAATAAATGAAGAAATATTTTAGAGACTATCTTTATTAAGAGTCAAAGTCAAGAACTCAACAAAAGAAAATATATAAGTGAGACTTTTCTCAAAGAAAGATGAAAAAATGGAAATATATATATATATATATATATATATATATATATATATATATATATGTTTAAAAAAACTAGAATAGTTATTGCCAAAAGCAAAAAAAACTAGAGATCCTTGAAACTAGACTAGAAGCAAAAAAAAGAATAGACAAGAGTGAAGAAGGCTTTATTCTTGCATCCATATATATTATCTAACTAAGAGCTACTTGGAAATATTCTATAAGTTCTCTAATATGTATCTTAATTTGCAAGACACATGTCTTAACTTGCAAGGCAAATTTTCTATACATGCACCATATAGTTAGCTTATACCACAAGCTATCAACATGTACAATACATGGCTAACTTGTTGGTCAAGTGTTCCACTAGCAATCACCTTTAGATACGTATAAAGATGAAATCATGTCTATAAAGCTTTTAGAAAGCTTTTTTATAAGATATTATTAAATTTATTTATTTTTTCTAATTCTATCTATCTATATTATTTAGGTAATTATAAGAATACATATATATTTTTGTGATATTAAGATCACTTAGTTTTTGTTACAAATTGGAAATTAGACTTGATGATTGTTAATTGAAGTGTGCTTTCAAATTTCAAAATATTCTTTGCATTTGATATGTGCTAAAAAAACATCCATGCAATTTTTAAAATCCTTCATCATAGCAAATGACCAATTTGATAAGGTTATGAAGATATAATAAATATTTTACTATAATAAGATAGAAGATAGAAGATTTATATATATATATATATATATATATATATATATTTTTGAGCCAATATTAATATATTAGTATTCCTAATGATATAGGAGTATTTGAAAAATTTATAAATAACATATCAAGATCAAAATTATAGAGGCTTGGATTAAGAATGTTTCTTATTTAGGTCGTGTTGCACAACCTCAACTTAAGAAAGGTCATACAACAATGAATGCATGAATGAATGTCTTCACAAGAAATCTTCTTGCTATGTATAGAAAATTAGAACTTGTAAATTTTCAACAAAAAAATTCTGTTATCTAAGAATTCTTGAAACAAAAATCACATATCTCCACCAAGCATTTAAAAAATAATAAATAATAAAAATAAAAATAAAAATAAAAAACTATTTTGGAATAAGTTGTTGTTGAGAATGTATCATTTTCCATTAAATGACATACAATTTCTTCTTTGTTGAAAATTTCCAAATAGATTATAAGATTTTAACCACTAAAATGCTTAAGCTTATAATTAAGCAATATCATAAATTCCATTCCCTTAACAATATGGATGACTACTCAAATCTCTTAACAAAAAAAACTTAGCATATATTGTAGTCATGCCTTAAAAGAAAGAAAGAAAAGAAAAGAAAAGAAAAAATTTAAAGAAACGAGTTTCTACTATCATTGGTAGTTATATAAATCCATTATTATTGATTCCAACTCTATTGAATAAAGACAATAGAAAACAAAAAATATAGACCTTCACTTCATTTTTAGCAAAAATGTGGTGAGACATAAGAACTTTGCACTTCACCAACATGTTAATATAAAGAAAGTAAGTGTTGGATAAAGAGAGTGATGTCCCATTAATACAAGGGTAATATTATGCTAACGCCTCTATCCATATATATATAGATAACATTATGTTATTATGTAATGATTATAATATTTTTCTTGAGTATTTGTTTTAAAAGAATTATAACTATAAAAGTACTAGAGAATCATGTAAAAATTTATGCTAATATAACAATAAAATTTATAAAAATTCTATTTTATGTTTTAAAAACTAAAAATGATTAACTTAAATATTTTGTTTCATAAATATGAAAATAATAAAATACATTTCATTTATATTCTATTCCAATAATAATAATAATAGAAGTAGTAGTAGTATAAAGAATACATATATATATATATATATATATATATACACACACACAATCATATAAAAATATAGTTTTTTATTTTTTTTATAAATCATAATAATAAATTTTTGTTTTAAAAAAATCTTGATTATTTTATTTTTTAAAATGAATATTTAAATAAGTATGAAATTTAAAATATTTACTTGTTTATATTATATAAAATATTATAAAAAATATATAATTAGTTTTAAGATTTTTTATTTTTAAATACATTGATTTTTTTTTCAATATTTTAAAAAAATGACTAATCTCAATATTTATTTGACTTGGTTTAAAATACTTGCAGTGGTTTAAGTTTTTGTTTAAGTTTTTGTATCTGTAAGATTAACAAGGAAATAAAACACAGTTATTTACTATTTGAAGTAGAAAAATAAGTTCCCATATTGTTTTTACAGAATTAAAAGAAGACTCAAGATATGTATTATTGATGCCACCAATTAAATCTCTTCTTTAAAGCAAACTCTTTAAGGTACCTATTTAGCCTATTAATTCATCCTTATTATAGATATTACATAATGTAAACTTGTAGGATGTAAAAAATTTAAAGTATATCCCAATTTGTGTAGGATGGTGTGTAATTGCAAGAAGTTCTCATGTAAATCTCCAAATTTTAATTTACACCAAAAAAATCCTAATATTATTTTTTATTATAGATATCATAGAAAGAATACAAATTATATTTTACTTAGTATTTATATTATATTTGATACTATTATTATAAATACAAAGTAATGCATATGCATTTTTACTTTATTCTTAGTTAATACATATAAATATATATATATATATATATATATATATATAGGCATGTAAATTAATATGTAGATAAAAAGTAAAAAATAAAAAATTTTAAAAATATGTATGTTTCTTGATATTCTATTAACAAATTAGATTTGTATTATTGTATACTTTTTTTTTAACATTAAAGATTTAAAATTAGCCATAGATATTTTTAAATTTTAAAGATAATAAATAAATATCTTATTATTATTATTATTAGTTAAAAATACACATACAAATTCATATTTTGTTGCTTAAAATATAAATATGTACCTTATTTGTGTCTTCTTTTCTTCTCTTTTTCCTTTTTTTCATCATTATCTCCAAATCCTTTAATAGTTTTTTCACATAAACAACTTTTTAAAATTTTCAAAAGGTATACTAAGATTCAATGACTTTTAAGGGGAATTGGCTTCTACTAGTGGCTCTTTAGCGATACTTCAAAACTTTCCAAGGGTTAAAGGATCCAAAAGTGATCAATATATGGATCACACAAAGCAAAGAAAGATTTTAGGTTTGTTTTCTTGAGAACATATCTCTAAAAGCAATACACCCTTTCAAGGAAAATTTCAGTTGAAGTCCTCTCCTTCATGAATGGACTCTCACCTTATTATTGTAGCAGGGCCATGATGGATGGATGGATGGGGCACAAGAGGGAGTTAAAACATTGAGTCAAATCAGAATCTTTGGCCACCTCCGAACATGTTTGTGCGATTTTGTGACACAATTTTGTTTACCAATTCTGACCTCATGTGGGTCACAAAACCCTTCACAACACTTGTTTCAGTGATTACAGCCCTGGAGAGATTTAACTCAATGAGCCAGATATCTCTTTTGAGTACTTTGCGTTTAATTCTGCTTCTACTGAAACCTTAGATTGTGGTAGAATGTGGCGAGCGTCACACCTTCACATGGTGGTTTGACGTGCTTCTACCAACTGTTTATCAGTGCACTATTTTGTTGTTTTTGGTTGTTTTTATATAAAAATAAAACAATAATAATACTCCGATACTAGGAAATCCCTGTCAAAAAATCTGCACAAATGAAAATCGGCAGATCGACATGCAAGCACGAATAAACAAGCCATACCCATTCGCGTTTTAATTCTACTACAGCGATGAAATACCGACACGAAATGTCAAGATCTGATCATAAAAATCTCCTCAGATATTGGCAAGATATATTAGAACGACGATATCAATGTAGGGGCAGGTATCTGTAGAACAGTCAAGACTCATTGCGGATATACAACCTACAAATCCCAGCAGTTGGGGATAGAAATCCTGCAGAATTAAGGCAGAAGCCGCTACTTTAAAAGATCCTTAAAAGATGATGAAGAAAAATGATAACTCACGGTAGGAGGGGATGCCTTACAGCCACTTTACAAGTTCCTTCCAAGGCGTCGAAGCATGTACAGGAAGTCACGATGGGCGCAGCTTTGGTGATGGCTTCGGAGGTGGCTTGAACCGTGTTTGAGCAATCTCCACCTCAGAATCTGTCTGTGAGTCGATGTCCGAGTCTAAATCTATTTGCTCATCGTCGTCAGAACTATCTTCGCTTGAGTCTAGTGTGCTGGAATACCTGGAAGACCGAATCGGTCGCCTTGGGAGAGCAGAAGCTGAGATTGCAGGCTTGCTGGGTGATGCATTCAACGGGACTTTCGTGGACGGTGGCTTGATTTGAAGTTCCGGGGCATCAGGATGGAATGTTTTGGATGGAGAGTCCTTGACAAAGCTCTTCATTTTGTCTGCAACATGAGTTACTTGCTCATCAGTTGTTGCCCCCAACATTGACACATCTGCAGGACCAGGAGTGGCATCACGCGGCATAGAATTGCTCAAGGCCTCGAGTTTTTGCTCGATCTTCTCTTTCGTTGATAGTTGCCTCACAGGCGGCCCATGCTCAAGCTCGTCCCCACTGATAGAGGTGACGGAATCGTACTGCTCCGGTGCTAAAAAACGTCTTGCCGCCAGACCTCGCCTCTCATGATCGGGAGTGGTAGCATACCCGAAATCTGTATCAGGACTTACAGGTCCTTGGTCAGCACTGCTTCGTGGTATGATTATCGGGTCGAGTGGTTTTGTGGCACCAGGAGATGAGATCGAGTGGTTCAAAACTCCAGTGGAATGCACAGGCTCTTGAACCTTGTCAGGAAGTGACTCGTCTAATGAGGGTGGATCCTCGTGAGCTGGAGCCGACTCTACACTCCCGGTGTCTGCAAGGCCTCCTAAACCTGGCAGTGACATTGATCTCTCAGCAAAATGAGGTGGGTCCCCCGAAACATCTGTGAGATCAGCGGGCACGGCAGATCCATGGCGGAATCTTTCATTGACAGTAGCATGGTCTCTAGAGACATCTGCCGCATCAGGCTCCTTATGATTGACTGAAACTCCACGAGACCTTCCACCTGTGACATGAAGGTTACTAGGTGTAAACTCTGAACTATCTGCTACTTTGGAAGAAAATTCACGAGTTTTTTTCCCCGCTGGTTGTATATCCTCCAACTCCGGCATTTCATGCCACTCCACACCCCCTTCGGACAGTGAGCTCGCCTTGTGAGCTGCTGAAGAATAAGAATAGTTTTCAGAATGATTCTTCGGTGCTGGAACTGATTTCTCTTCATGCCGAATCTTAACCGGAGGGGAATGTCCTTCAGGAACATTGTCGTGGTGTGAAGCTCTTTCCACACGAGTTCCTGTAGGATGTGCTGATTGCTGGTCATGCACGTTGATGTCACGATTGTGAACTTCGCCATCGGTCTTTCGAAAAGATGGCTCCAGCGCCCCAATCCTATGATGCAAGCTTGTAAAAAGAATACCATCTTCGTCACTGTCACTGGAGGAAGGCAAGACATCCTCTTGCACCGTGAACGGAGGAGGATGGTTATAAGTACCATTGGCCGCCGGTTTCTCGCCCCGAGAGATGAACCTGGAATCCGATGGTCTCTCCCCAACTTCGAGATACATATCTTCATCGTGATGGAAGTGATGGTGATCAAACTCCTCATCACTTGTGTCCATGTCGTCTTCGAAGGATTTGTAAAGAGGACCAGTGACTTCCGCAGGACCGGTTACAAGTGGTGGCATATGATGCTCGATAGGGGGAGGTATGGCATTCTCAAATGGCGTGACAGAGCCATGTCCTCTAGAGAAACTCGGGAGGGGTGAGAAAATGTTGTGGGGAAGGTCTCGAGCACTAGTCCCAACAACGGAAGAGGGAGGCCTTTCAAAGCTTCTGTCGATAGCTAAGTGAGACGACCTCCGAAGATCTAGATTTGTTAAATCAGCAATGCCTTGCGTTTGGGATGAATGAAGCCCAGCAGTTCTTTCCTCCCCGGCTGGAATTCTCCTGGTTGCTAGCTTCACCGTCTCACGTGGTTTGTCTTCAGCTCTGAGGGCAAATGCTTCCTGTAAAATGGAAACATTATCATCATTCAAATATGCTCCCCTCCAATCCTCGTTTCGCAGCTTCTGTTCAACCCACACCAACCCAGAATCTTTACAAGATGTGAACCAATCACCCAATGTAGAACGAAGATCCTTGCTGGGTTCCTTTCTCCTGAAATCCCTCTCTCTATCTTCAGGTCTGAAACCCGGTAAAGAGTCATGTCCGGCATTATCTTCCAATGGACTCTGAAAGTCACCCTTCCGATCCGAGGGATCTTGAAATTGAGGTCCCATTGTAACCAACGTCAAAATGAACACGGCTGTTGAGATCAATAGAGGAGAGAAGAACTTGAGGATTGGGAAAAAGGGAGGTGTGAGGAACACTAACAGACTGCAGGAAAGATATGGGTGACTCGATATGAGAGTGCCAATCTCGGAAAATACCCTCGTGCCCATTTCTTCTAGAGCACAAAATCCCCTTTCACATAACGTAATATAAAAGTGAGATTTGCGTTGTATATATGAGCTCGGTGCAGGGGACTAAGTATACAAGCTTTCAGAGCCGTAAGGCTGCTGCCCAAGCAGCAAGACTGTCAAAAGTACTCTGCTTTTAGGGTTGAGAGTGATAGCATCAGGACTTGGGCACTCTGCTTGACCAGCCATGAAGAAAATTTCTATTTCTTTTAAACAACTGCTACACAACCATAGAATCGCCGATGCCAGATGAGAGAGTTAGGGTATTTTCGTGAAACGAGCTGTATCCAAAGGGTCATCGAGCATTGAAGTAAAACCATTCGAAGATGGGCAGATCTCTGCAACGAAAAACTAAATGGGTATGCGCCTGCTGCCCCTCTCTGTTGGATCAAAAGGAGAAGGTTTTAGTCCGAATTTTTGAAACCAAGTAATCAAGTCTCCTACAAGCTTTTGAAGATTGCCAATAGACTCCCAAGTATACAGAGAACAAGGCCATGCAACCATAGGGCAGTCGATCCTACAGTTTGAGATTGCTCTTGGTTGAAGTACCATCGTGAAAGTCGATGAAAATTTCTCACCTGCACCTAATTCAATGTGCAACTAATTTTTTGTTCAGTAAAAACACAGCAACACACGCTACAACGCCACAAATTCAGGCACAAGTATCCAAAAGATGATGCTAAGGTCATGATCACAATCAATGATCACTGACATTACTGGCAACTACATTATAAGCAAATCAAACCTACTCCATGACTAAGGAACCCGTGAACAGAAATATGTTATGCTTCTCAGAAGTAAAATGGCCATTTTTCAAAACAAAGGAAAAGAAAAGAGAAGAGCGAAGGAATAGCTCTCTACTAGGAACAGAACCGCTTGACAAGATTATAACTGGTGAAGAACCGAGCAGAACCCAGCAAATGAAAAGAAACCGTTTTGCAGACAACAAATCTGAAGCAGACTTCCGCGACCGGTGCTACCACTTCATACATCTAGAATTGCTGGTATAATGGCAAGTCATTGCCATCTCTTCATGTGAAGACTACAAAGTCACTTCATCACTACTGAACTGCTCTGAAATTTGTCAGCACTAAGTTGAGATTACAAGTAGCTGTTGTGCAGAACAATGATACCGACTCCAGCTATTCAAAAGAACCCCTTTCTTTCATAGATAGTTCTCATTGTTTGAAGTCATGCTCCTCCATCGATGATATTATAAATGAAAAATAAGCCCGCCCGACACTCTACAAGTAAAAGCGACCCAAATGTGTACATTCACCGAAGAATTTTCCATCAACCTGTCCCACGTAAACTGATGACCAGAATTCATCCCAGCGGTTGCAGAAAATTCACAAAACCTCATTCCTATCAAGACTTTAAAGCCTCGGACATTTCAGAACAATGGGCAACCCAAAAAATAAGTACCAGACGTTCGACGCAGCATCTTTTTCAGCTGATTCAAAACCTAAAAACAATTGCACGTACACAGGACAGAACGGAGATCGGGAGAAGAAAGAGTTGCGAACGGCTTACATGTCACCTATTACCCGAAATTCGAACGAGGATGCATGCAATCATCCGACTCACACGCCAAAACCAACCACTCCCACGCGAAACACAGATCTACCCCGAAAATCACAGCTAGAGACAACAAAGACGATCATCCAACATTCTCCACAACAAGTGAACTCATAACTAACAACAGACATTCACAGCGCTCCAAAAAAACGGAATTCTCCTTCTTCACAGAGCCTCAGGACTCACTCCCCAGTCGCCGCGCTAGAGCTCTCCAATCCACTCCACGACATCTCATAATCTCGCTCCCCCAACTGCTCTTGCAAAATTCAGCACCACCTCTGTCTGAGCTCATCCACCTCCTCCCACAGTGGTAGATCACAAACGGGACCGGCTCATGCCCAGCGGTAGTTCACAATAATTTAGATGAAAAGTAAAAGCTTGCCAGTAGGGTTGCGGAGTGTGCTCTGCAAAAGGCGACCAGGTTCCAGGTCACGCTTCGCAAAATGAACGCTCTCATCCAAGTGTTTCCATGTCCCGACCCCCCCCCCCCCCCCCAACGGATTCCGGTGGCCCAGAGCAGTGTGGGTAAATTCACGCTGCGCCACTTAAGCAAGCATTACTGCGAACGGGGACCAGCTCCTGTGTCTGCGAGAAGAGTAGATGAGTCCACGAGTGCGTCAAATCACTGCACGTTGTCAACGCTGCCATGGCCTTGAATTAGAGCGGACGAAGGAGAAGAAGACGAGACGGTTCTCCATTGACACAGGCACTGTTGCCAACTACTGTGACCCCATCATTTGTTGCGCTTCTCTTGGTTGACGGAGACCCAACAACCTCCAGTTAAGTCGAATCCGTGCCCCTCTAAACGGGATGGCAGATGCTTTCCTGAAACCAGCTTTTGAAAGCCTTCATCCATTCTCACAGCGAACAGACGTGGCTCCTACACACGTTGGTCAAATGATTCCAACGTTTTATCTCCCACTTTTCAACGTCCATCTGCCTACGTAGACAGAGAAGCTCAAGTACACAACACAATAATGGAGAAGCATCGAAAAGAGTGCAATCTCGGAGTGTGAGGATACAGCAGATATCCAAGCACCGCAGTACATACGGCGCTCTGTCTACATTGTAGAAAAAGACGCAACCGTTGTGTGTCCTCAGGACAGAGTTGCAAATCTCGAAACTTCGACGGCAGGAACTGTATTTTAAGGGGGCGATGAGCGGCCAGTGTTTGTGTGAAAGGTGCAGAAAAGAAAAGGGGGTCACGGCGTGGAATCCATCCAGTCTGGCCTGTTGAACTGGTCTCCCTTGCGAGCATGGCCACCAGGGCTCTTCAAAGCATCTGAGGACGCCGCTGCTGCCCTGCAGGAGTGTTGCAGATGTAGGTAGGGCTCCGACCTCAGATTATCTGTCTGGCACCCACCTTTGCATTTTGCATTTGCAATTGCATGGCCAGGCATTGAACAGCAACGCGGCCCAGCTCATCGTCCTTCTTTCCTCGCAAGCCGCTTCTTCCTCACCCACCAATCCTTCTTCCCTTTTTTTCTTTGTGTTTCTGAAATTTGTTTTCCTCTGAGATGTCAGTTTCTGATTCTCCATTCCACTGGTTTCGATCATTTTCCTAAGCAGATTGAGGTGTTGTGTTTATGAATTGTTGTGCTTCTGTTCCCAAGCGCTACAAGAAAAAAAAAAACACAAAAAAAAAACACAAAAAAAAACACAAAACACAAAACTTGTTCCCTTGAAAGAGCTGTGATTACATTGTTTTCTTTGTCTTTTCTTTCTTTTCTTTCTTTTCTTTTTTTGTTTGCTTAGTAGAATTGAATAGCAGAAAACAACAAAACTGAGTGGATGTGTAAATTTTGTAGTTTGCCCTGCTTGGGTTTTTTGGGTTTGTTGGTTTGTAAGTTTCATCGGATGAGTTTGAATGTGGTTTGGACTCAACATGTTTGGCTTTGCATTGGTTTATCAACTTTATCCTTCTGTAACTGTTTTGGTTGAATCATAAATATGATTTTTGAAGCCCAAATGAGTTGTGTTGTTGCATGTCACAATATACAGTCAAAAATAAAATAAAAAATGAAATAAAAATCATAGAAAAAAAATTCTTTAAAATGATATATATTTTTTAATATATTTTTTTGGTCTTTACAAAGATATTGTTAATATAGATTACTTAAATATTTCATGAAAATCTGATTATTTCAATCTCTGTTTCACTCAACTTAGATTTTGCTTGTATAATTCTTATTTGCTTTCTTTATTTGAAAATTTTCAATCTTTTCTTATTATAATATATATATATATATATATATAGCATTCGAAGGTGATAAAAGGCTTTTATGGGAGATTATATAACAATGTTTAAAAGATAATGTCAATGCCTAATAAGCTTATTAACATAAAAATAACTTCTTTTAGCTTTTATTCAGTTTTTTAATTCTAATTCTAAATTTAAACCTAAATAGTTGTCACGGCCATAATCATGTAAGCTAATAATTACATATAGAAATAGGTAGAAGTAAGTAAAAGTAGATAAAAGTAAGTTAATTCTATAATATTTAATATAGAAGCTTCCTAGAAACTTCCTAGACGCTGCTTTGACTTCATAGGTGTCTTTAATTGACTTTTTGGATTAGAAACGTGGTCAACAAGTTGGCCATGTGCCACACATGTTGTTAGCTTGAAGATCAAGCTAACTATGTGGCCCACACGTAGAAAAACTTGCCTTGTAAGTCAAGGCATGTGTCCTACAAAATCAACACATATTGGAGGTCCTATAGAACGTCACCATGTAGCCCCTAGTTAGATAGTATATATAGAGACAAGAGTGAAGGCTTCTTCACTCTTGTCAACTCCTTTCTTGCTTCTAGTCCAAGTTCAAGAGTCTTTAGTTTCTTGTCTTGTGGCAATAGCCATTCCAGTTTCCTTTTAATATACCTACTTGTTTATATTTTGACTTATTATATCGAGATAGCCTTTTGGTGTATATTTTTCCTCATCGAGTCTTTGTCCTTGACAGATTGACAAGAGTACACTTACAATATCAGAGCTTTGTTTTTTTCTTGAGTAAGAGTGGATTACCCCTTTCTCTTGACAAGACATAAGCGTATTAGAAGTTTGCGGATTACCCACTTCTAAACTGATATTGTTCTTAGTATCTTCTTTGCTATCAAGTCTTTCTTTTCTTTTGTCTTGAGCAATATCAAACAAATTTTTCTTCTTAGTGTCATTATGGCAGAGCTTGTTGAAATGAAGAGTGCAATGGCACAAATGCAAGAGCAAATGAGGGAGTTAATGCTTGCGATGCATCAACTCAATTCACCAACACAGGAAAGAACAAGAATAGCAGAAAGTAGAGATATAGAGATGATCGGAGCTGCTTCAACATCTACAACAAATCACGTTCCTTCTCTAATTGTACAACACCCTATAAGCACTAGAGAACCAAGAATTGCCTTACCTGAGAAATTTGATGGTACGAGATCAAAGTTTCGAGGGTTCATCAATCAAGTACAATTGGCAATTGAACTTCAACCGCAAAGCTATCCAACTCCAGGATCACAAGTCGGGTTTATTGGCACTCTACTTTCTGGTTCTGCATTATCGTGGTTTTCGTCTTTTCTTGAACAACGAAATCCAATATTGGACAATTTGGAAGCTTTTTTGGCGGAGTTTCGATCTATGTATGGTAAACACGATGCAACTCGTGTTGCAACAAATAAGATCCGAATTCTACGACAAGGAAATCGCTCAGTAACAGTATATGCTTCACAATTTCGACAACTTGCAATTGACATCAAGTGGGATGATGCTGCACTCATCAGTCAATTTCTTTATGGATTGCAATACGAAGTAAAGAAATTGATGCTCAACTTACCTGATCCTCAAACTTTGAATCAAGCAATCGATTTTGCGGTAAAATGTGATAATCGACTTTTTGAATTTCGATCTGAGAATCATTCACGGGAACCTCAACGTTATTACTCAATGGCAACATCAACATCTTTGCCAAACGTACATTCGGAAGTAGAAGACATGCAAATTGACGCGGTACGTTTTAAACCCCTAACTGAGCAAGAAAAGATTCGTCGTCGTCAAGAAGGATTATGTTTATATTGCGGAGAACCTAAGCACACTGCTCAACATTGTCCAAAGAAACGACGCAACTATAAAATGAGGGATACGACGGTCAAAGAAGACAACATGTCGGAAAACGGATTCGTCCAGCTACAATAGGGACCGTGCAGCTGGAACCTTGTACAATTCCTAATGAAGGTCCTATCCTCTCCTCAGAACCCTCTCCTTGTTTTATAATAGACTTATATTTAGGACCTAAGAATTACAAAGCCTCTGCTTTATTAGATTCGGGAGCCTCAGCATGTTTTTTAGATGAACAATTTGTTAAAAGTCGTAAAATACCCTTTGTACAGAAACCTAAACCAGTACATGTAGAAGTCATAGATGGTCGTCCCTTGTCTTCTGGAGATGTCACTCATGAAACTCATCCTATAAAAGTAACAATAGATGGTCATGATAGCTACATAGCTTTTAACATAATTAAATCCCCGTCTAATCCAGTTATTTTAGATTTATCCTGGCTAGAAAAATATAACCCTCGAATAGATTGGAATTCGCGTAAACTTGACTTTTCCGAAAGCGTTATTAGTAGTTCTACTAACCAAGTAAAAAATTATAAGTCTAGTACAGTAAAACCCGTACTGATAGGTACAAAAGCATTTATACACGCAGCAAAAGAAGGATCAACTTTTGCTATTTATGCTGCACCTATTTCTGAAAACGTAAAGACTTCAAGTGGCATTCCAAGTCAATATCAGGAGTATCAAGACGTTTTTGAGAAAAAGAATGCAGATATTCTTCCTGAGCATCGCCCATATGATTGTTCAATCGACCTCAAGGAAGGAACTCAGCCACCATTTGGACCAATTTACAGTTTATCGCAAGATGAGATGGCTGAACTCAAGACATATATAGACGAGAATTTAGCGAAGAATTTCATACGCCATTCAAAATCTCCAGCAGGAGCTCCAATTCTATTCGTAAAGAAAAAAGATGGATCTTTACGAATGTGTGTTGATTATCGAGGACTCAACAAGATCACAATCAAGAACAGGTATCCATTACCTTTGATATCAGGACTCCTTGACCAGTTGAATCAAGCTAAGATCTATACAAAAATAGATCTAAGAGGAGCATATAATCTAGTACGGATCAAAGAAGGAGATGAATGGAAGACTGCGTTTCGAACCAAGTATGGACATTTCGAATATAATGTCATGTCCTTTGGACTCACGAATGCACCAGCTGCTTTTCAACATCTCATGAATGATGTATTTCGTGAATTCTTAGACAATTTTGTCGTCTGCTATCTAGACGATATCCTGATCTATTCCAAGAACGTCGAAGAACATGAAATACATGTTCGTCAAGTATTACAAAAACTTAGAGATGCAGGATTGTACGCCAAGATGGAAAAGTGTGTATTTCACACTACTCAAGTTGAC